GCTTCCGGTTCCACATGGGAAAATTGACACCCACTCAACCGCATCCACAGTCACGACGCGTGTCTGTTTATAAGGATCTGGCCCACTACACTCATGTCTGGGTTAGATTCGATGGTGTCAGGAGACCTCTTTACTCATCTTACGATGGTCCCTTCAAAGTGGTCCGTCGTGAAACCAAATTCTTTATTATTGATCACAATGGCAAAAGGGATAGCGTTTCCCTAGATCGATTGAAACCTGCTTATATCGATCCCCTTTGCGATTCTTCATTCTTACCTTCCCGCATCTTTACCCCCTTCCTCCCCTGTCCCTCCTCTGGCGAAAGCACTCCCAGCGGACTCAAAGTTACGCTCTACCCTACGCACTAGCACCTCCACGAGGTCAGGTCGTAGAATTCGTTCTATCTCTATGTACAGTGAATACACTGACTAGGGTGACCAAGGGATTCATACGTTTCCATCACACAAAGTGTGGAGCCTCCTAGCATGCCATGCGTTGTGGGTCTCCATCGCTGTCTGACACCTTCCTCACGGGTCTTTTGAGTGTCCGACGCATTTGGCTGCCCTCCGTTAGGCAGTTCACCGCGCCCCAACTCCCCTTCAAAGAAAGAGTTGCTCGTGGTCGAGTTGTGTTTGATGTACAAAATACTGACCAAATAATAAAATCTATTTGCATAGTATCACTGCCTGTACATAGAAACTTATACATTGCTTGTGTTTTTTGGCCATATCCATTCATTGTACGCTTCATTTTGATTGCTTTTGCAATCATGTACCATGACCAACATTTCCCTAGTTGGGGTATACTTGTGTCGCTACACATAGTTAGGATTCCGCTTGAGACAGTGTCCACACAGTTGATTTATTTATCGATTTTGCCTAGCTTAGACACCAAAATCTCTAGCCGTTAACCCCTGTTGGTCGAAGGCTTGCTACGGCACTGTTCTTGAGTTGGGGGTATGTGATGTAGTGGCTCCAGATCGACAGTATAACGTGCTTGAGAGTCGACACCATCTTTGAGCTGCCTGTTTCGCATGGTTTTTTATTACACACGAAGTGATTTACAGCGAAAGGGGAAAACCCCATAACCAACGACATATTGTAAGGGGGAGGTATGTGGGGGAACATTCAATAATCAATTTGTTAATCCTGATTTTGAAAAGAGTAGGGTTATAAGAGGTGGGAAACACGGAAATGGGAAGTGTTCCACAATCCCACAGTCATTGGGAAAAAAGATTGAAAGATAGAAGTCCGACATCTGGGGACAGAAACCTGATAAGGGTGACTGCTCGCCTGAGAATGAGGTGGACGAGGTCAGTGGAACGGGAACCGCTGAAGCGAGTTCGGAAGAGCAGAAACCAAAATAGTTACGACAGAAAGGAGATAACGAAGCAACTGCCGGGCAGTGGGAAAGGGACTGCAGGTTGGAAGCTAA